TAAACAAATAGTGGAGGAATATACAGTAGTGTCATTGATTTAGAACAATATAATTATTAATTTTGTCTATTTAGTGTAAGTTTCTTGTAGTTGACCCCTGGCGTCACGCGAGGCATCTTTAATCAAAAGCGCTTTTGCGTTGCTCCATAGTAAATTATTGGCAACCACAATACAACCAGCTGTACCTCAAGTCAATAGAGTAATTTATATCGTTACAAAGAGCAATTAACAGTATTTCATTGATTAGTATATCTAGAAGCCTAGATTTATGGATCTGTAGGGATGTTGGGGTCATTAATTTTCATTATTTAAGTTCTAAACCTCGCAAATACGTAAATTGGGTCTTCTCGTTCGGTTGACGAAATTACAACAGCCTCTATACTGGAGCGTTGCGTAGTACTTGACTTTGCCAATTTTCATGGACGTACAAAGAAGTACTATAGAACTTGTTAGGTAGGCACCTATCTACTGTTCACGAAAAACGATGTCGAGGGTTCACGCGTGTGATGCCACCAAAACCAACGGAGGAGACGGAAGCATCAGGCTTCTGATCACATACTTACAGAACAAATAATCACACTCCAGCGTGCGTTTGAAGTGAAATTTTTAGTGCCAGAGTTTGTGTTCTCGGCAATTTTAGCATTTTCCCTTTACATGAGTTGTCTTCAAGTGTTCTCATAAGTCATCTCTTAATCGAACTCCTTGAAGTTTATATATATTAGCTAAATCATTCAGATATTTTATAGTATATATCCAACACCGCTATTTGTCTTACCAGAGAACCATAGCGGAAAAAAATTGCTTTCGGTTTTTCAAAACCATTTTCCAACGTTTGATTTGATTGTTTTAGTGAAAAGAGTTTACTCACTTTTAGCGAATACTCATATGTTCACCCTTGAAAAAAATGTTCGCATCTAAAATTGCAGGTAAACGGCGTCGGACACGAATAGTTCATTAGATCAGGGCGTATAATACTCGTCTCGCTTCACATGGAAACTATCATTAACATAGGCAGAATCATACAAATATCAGAGGCTAAATAATGCTAATATATGTCTAAGTTGATGCCCTTGTGAATCGAGCTTGTAACACGCGACTATGATGACAGAAAGCTGTACGCCATGTCCATCCACGACCCATTCTGCTGTGCCCCAGACTCGTAAACGACGCTCATGTCGTGGATCAATTGCTAATCTCGTCGGGACTGATTTGGATGGCGTATGACAAACAAAATGCTGAGATGATAAGATCGTATGTATGCCGGATACCCAATACCGTACAATTAACATGAGCCCAAGATCAACGCACGGTGGGTAAATTTACGACCCGCTGACATCGTTAACGAGGTGTTGACTAACTGTGGTTACCATTAGACAGCACAACTTGGTTTGTATTAGTCATCTACTTCTTATATATACTGGACTCATTTGAATGGTGCGGTGAGTTAATTATGAGCTAGACTGGAAATCTTGTAAAGATTGTATAAGAAAGATCGAATTGTGCTAGATACAAGTACAGTTGTTAGGGGGTCTTAGTTGAGATATATATTCAATGTTAAAGCAATAAGAACTTGACGGCAGGAATAGCGTCAACAATAATTACCATAAGAAATTGCTTGATATCGACTCAATAAGTTGAGTTGAACCGCTCCAGCGTGGAGGAGACGCTTCAAGAAGAGCATGTCGTACTTTCCTTCAAACGTCTTTATGCCGTCCCCAAAATCTACGGCGTTTACTTCGGGCTTCGAACTGATTTCTATCAAAAATGTTCTGTGTAGGCATAGGTTCCAGAATCACGAACTGCATTCGGACCATTCTAAGAGGCGCAAAAACTTTGTGTGTGTCTGTTAAGGCCGCCTTAATAATCGCGCACGGATCTTGTTTGGACCGACCACCACATAAAGCGTGGCAAAATCTGAAATAATTTAATAGCGTTGCCGATAAGCACAATTTACCCTGATGAAATTCTTACGTTGCTATTTGAAAAACGAACGTGCAGATTTTGTATGGAAAACTTTTAGTTACATTCTGTGCATGATGGAACAAACAAGACCAGCAACCTAGCAAAAAACAATGCGCCGATCGTGTGCGTGCGTGCGTGCGTGCGTGCAATCGAACCAAAGCTCGAATTAGCTAAAGCGACCACATCCTTAGCCTTTTATCGAAAGGCCTATAATGCGGTAATTATCTTGAAATACTATGGTAAAGGAAAACGCACGTGACGGTGATAGCAAAACAGGCACAAAATGAGATGTTTGCTAAATAGAACGAACATCGCCGTCTTACATAAACATCGAGGGCAAAATCAGAGAGATATTGCCATAATTACGCGAATCAGACGAATGATCTCGTCTTAACAAAAAATTGCGCAGATCTACTACTGTATATAAATTGTTAGATTTATCGAATGAAAGGTCGACTCATCAAAAGCGTTTAGGATACCGTATTCAAACGATTACATATGGCTGCATGGTACATATGTTACTGTTTTCAGTTGTGACTATCATCATTTATCATAAACGTTTCACAAAATGGCGCAGGACCGCTCGACAAATTAGGCCAGCTTTGAGGAGATGTGGCATAGTGCGAAAAGCTTAATCGCGACGAAGCATTGTCTTTGCGGTAACATCACGACTCACGAAAACTTGCAAAAATAACTCATTGAGTAATTTAGTTTAAATCAATCAACGATGCGTCTATAAATCGCAGTAGACCCGACACAGTAGAATAATTGTTTCCTATAACGGACGAAAAGGTGAATTCTTGTTTCAACAACATTATACTATTCTCTAGTGAATTAAGCTATTTATTATATTGAAACGAAGCGCTATAGTGCACACCACAAACGATAAACTTCAATTATTCTATTTCGAATAATGAAGCGAAAACGAGGTTTCAAATTCAATTCCTGACTGATTCTAGTCAACAAGCAGTCAATACTTTTCGCTAAATTCGCTCACTGAAATTCTTCGTGACCAATGCCGCTAAATAATGAACGCGGGCGGGTAGCTCGGTGTAGACTGACGTTTTTCAAAAATCATACCAGGTAATCTTCCGTACTAAGATCCGCGCGCTTCCTCGAGATATAAGCTGACCGACAAAACGTGTTTAAGTGCATAACAGTATCTTACATCTATAGTACCATCTCGTTTGGGTACCCGCTAAAAACCTAAGCCCGTTGGTCTTCGAGGGTAGAAACCATAGTTCCTGTGGTTCTGAGTGCTCCGTAATATAATGCTTGGAGACAACATGATTGGTATGTAGTACCATTTTGTGGCACCGTTCGTAAGTGCCATGATGAGACAAAATGCCGAACTCACTTTAGTCTTCAAATTTTACGAGGTAGATAAATAAGGTAGATCAACATAGAGACACAATCTATTTAATAGAGTCGTTTAATCCCCTTGGATGACCTAGCGATGCGAAAAACCTGTTTATACTCAATACGTTGTCGGAAAATTATAAGAAATGGTTTTTGTATTTTTTTTTAAATTTGGACGAACGTTTAAGAAGATTGCTCTTCTAGCGCCGTTCCTACGCGTCATAACTGATGTACGAAAGAGTTAGATGAAAGCGACCCATCGGAACGTAAACAGAAACGTTTTGAGGTCTGTGATTCAACTGGCTGTGATATATTTACCTACGCCTCACTAAGTGATCTTATTGCATTTAAAACGGCAGCGAGATTGTATGTTTTTTCAGAAAATATAAAATAAGGAGTTTAGTCGTGTTTAAAATAACGAGCCTTAATTTAAAGGTTGAGTAGAGTCACAAGTTTCGTTATCGAGGGTCAATTGTTACTTCACTTAACTTAAAAACCGTGGACTAAAATCGCAGACTCTGTCTTTGACGAGTACCCACTCAATCGACGTCATAATGTGTTATTTAATGTATGTATTTGGGGCACGTCTTCGTAAAATACGGCACTATTAAGTAGCACTTGTGGCTGGGTTTCGAATCGAGTATCATCCTGATTCCTGTTAACGTACCCTTCTGTATATTTCTTGTCGGGTCTACGATGTGCTGTTCTTTCCGAAGTGTTTCTCCTTCGTTTTTTGGAGATCATCTACTGCCCGAGGACCTCTTTAGACGTAGCTGTTTGCATGATTAATTTCTCTGCCCTATCCCATGATACTACAATCACTTTGAAAATCAAAGCCGAGGACGAAAGTCGGCGATTATTTACATTTACAGATACCGTTCTATAAATGTGCGGTAGACCTTGTGCATCATACTTATAATGAACGTTCGTTGTTTCAGTTATCTTTCTCCACTGATTTCAGCAGCTTTGTTCAGAGACTCAATCCGGACTACTAAATTTTTGCTATCTAGGTTTTCACAGGTAGCTTCATCCGTTGACCACATATTTTTCGTCTTTTTCATGAGTGTTGAATCTTCGAATAAGATTCGATCTATCATAGAACCTATTTACTTTACCTGATTCAGGGATGCGCGACAGTGTCCAAAGGACCCAAAGCCGAGAAACTCGGAGACACTCCAGGGTGATGGTTGGCCAAAGAAAAACAACTGTAGTATCTCATATAGAGCCGTAATTCGCTAAACAGATCTCCGTAGAGAAGAAAACAAGTGTCAGGTGGTGCGACGATGTCGTCGTCATCATCGACAGGGAAAAGACGATGAAAACTCTGGTAATTCTTGAATGAATACTTTCACATGAAGGCTTCGGAATTAACGATCGATGTATACCCTAGAAATAGTTTTCCTGAATCATTCTACTGCCAAGCAACACCACGCCGCCGCAATGTAAATGATATTCATTTGGTACAACGCATGTGTATAGCAGATTTTGTAACTCTATCTTAAAGATAATTTAGCCCATTAGTTTATTCCTTAAGTTCATCCCGTTCCTATACTAGCGTTCAGATGCGCAATAGAAACTGCGGTTTCTATTCATGGTCCATTTGAGGTATCAAGCTTAACCAGCTTACAGCGCAATAGACAATACTTATTATTATTAATAGAAAAAAAAAGACAGACGTATTGATCTCCTTGAATCCAAGCATGTGTATAGTATAGATGTACATTTACAGACAACATTATTTTTGTGTTACGTGCATTTTGGTCGTTCAAAACCTCCTGCTCAATGAAAGACTGGGCGATTTACTGTACTGGATCGCTTGGGGCATCGTGATCCATCCGGACACTAATTTGCGCCAGGACGTAGGACATTGACGCCCAGACAGCAGTCGCGCGGTCCATATCATCTGGTAACATCAGAAGCGGAGTATCGGCATTCGTGTGATGATAATCGAAGTATCGCGGATTGTTGTTGTAAAGTGAGCCTCCCGGAACTCCGATATCGAACCATTGCTTAATATCAGGTCCACTATTGGAGATTAGCAGTGCTGTAGCATTTATCGATTTTAGCATTGAAAGCGCCTCTTGAAGAACGCAGCGTGCCTTTAAAAGGAAAATAAAGAAGAATCAAATAAATAGGCGTAGAACTTCATTAAATTAAAACAGATACTGCTAGTAAAGTAGTAGTACTTAAAAGTACTATATATCATATTTTATAAAGTCATTAATTATTCATAAAATAAATAAAACTTTAAGAATCAATTAGGAAAAAAAGAAAAGTTAAATTTCAGTTGAAGAGATAAAGTAAAGTATCGTAAATGTAAGTTTACGCTGCTCTCAATTGTTCCCGTAAGTATCTTCTTTGTGAGCCTCCTTTTGTCCGTTACTTACGAGTGGGCTTACCACCAGGATTATAACAGACGTTGACGTTAGTTGGTGCAACGCCTGAAGCATATCCCAGACGGGCTGCTCCATTTCACAGTAAGAGTAAACAATAAACTGACGTGACCTAGCCTAGAGCCCTTTTTTCAAGCGCATAGGCAACCGGCTTCATCTTCTATTTAATCATCTTCGTTCTCAGTTTCGAAACGTAGGTCCATTATTTCAGTCAGAATCGGGTCTGCTCGTGAATGATCGCAAACGACACTTCACCGTTTATCGTTGCGCTCGTGAATCTACTACTCATTCATTATTTTGAGGATCAGCAGCGGTGCAGATGTCGCCAGTAGTGGCGCATTTATATAGAAGAACCAAAGCCGCTCATTGTCAACATCATTTTTCTACCTGCCTGCTTTTTCGCACCGGCCTGTATATTTGGTAGAATCTCTGGCAGAGTATAACAGTCCCCTTTATCCCCAGTATGCAGTGTCCCCTGCTCATACGATTCGATGGAGGTATTCTGATCAGAAAAATAGTTAGAGAGCTAACCAATTGTGTAGACCTTTGAACTAGTTTGCCTGTTAAGGGTGTTCTCGATCGAGGGTGTAAGGTGATGATCGATTTTAGTGGTTCCGCTAAGCAAAACAGGGGTCTCTTGTTAGAATCATTTCGATTGGTGCCTTAGCTCAAAGCAGCATGTTTTTACTGTAGTGTTAACAGTAGTAGCTGTTCCTATATGTTCTTTGCGAACGAATATGGCGGATCTATAGGATGCTCCTGCTGGAAACGATGAAAGGACTGCCAGCACAAAACACAATTGCCAAAACTAACCGTTGACACGGTTATCATTGGTAATTGTGTTTGATCGGTAGACGGGACGTTGGTCAAACGGGTTATTGGAAGAAATGTATTTCTATGCGACCGAGTGAAAAAGGCCCAGGCGCGGGCGCTAGAGCTGCACGAGGATCGCACAAGTGGTAGCTGTAGTGGAGGCTCGCCCGAAACATAACTTGAATGGTGGGTATTGTTATTCTGATTCTCGTCGCGATTATCACGTCTATTGGTTTAATATTTTGTCGAGTCAGGAGTCTACGCCCGAAGTTAAGCAAACGTATAAAAAAAATGGCAGAGACATCAGCTGCTCTGCCGAAAATAAGCCGTATATTGGCTTTTGAGATTAAATAACCAAATGAAAATACAATATTTAAGTATAGCCTACCAAAATGTAAAGAATCGTATTTTACTGTGTGCGAAACAAAACGGTCACCCGGATCCCAAGTTGTTAAGCAACGTTTCAAAACATAATACGCGAAATATGGGAATGCGCAAACAGGTCTGAGTAGGTCCTACAGTAGTCATCTTTTATCAGAAATGGTTTCATCAAGTCGCTACTGTTTCGAGCTTGACGGCGCTCTGTTATTAGCTGTTTACCTGTTGTTGTTCGTCGCGTCACTAGAAAACACGGGAGCTACAAGCGGATTCGGCGGACTCCGAACAGCTATTCAGACCACGTGCGGCTAGCAGACGAAACTTTTTTTTAAAGTAAAACCTTGTAAGTGAAGATCGGTTGAGCTTAGCCGAAAATAAATCAAGTTTAGAACGAAAAACGCTATTATAGTGACAAAAATCATCGACCGGTGATCAAGTTTTCCTTCTTCCAAGGCTACAACACTGTAGAAATTTATCCAAAATTGTTGAAGACATTAGACAGGATGGTCTTAAGCGAAAACACGCTGCTTGAATAATGTACATGTTTTAAAACCGATGACTGAAGTATGGAAGACTACCGCATAAGCGACTAGATAGATGTCCGAACCCGAAGATGCAATGCGTCGATCGAGGCGGTTTGTTGCGAAAGCAGAGCTCACCGTATAAAGGCTATGTAGCGTTTCATATATGAAGTGTAACAGAATTATAAATCGTAAACCGGCAATGCAGAAGCTAAGTTAAAAATGTATCCCCTATGAAACCTCAAACCAATTGGAAGTGGCAAGGCCTATTTCACGTGCAACTTACGAAACTTCAATCACTATTGTCAGCTCGAAAGAGGCCAGGGAAAAGAATGACGCTGCCCTGCAAAGAAATCGCGAATCTGGTTTTATCGAGTGACTTGAACACAAGTTGGTGGTAGTACTTGCAATGGACAACAGGGGCATCTGCAAGTGTGAAACACCCGCCGAAAATTTAACAAAAAACGGCCCAATATTTCAAATTCCCTAAGACTCACAAGTCACTGACGCCGCGAGTGGAGGTATGCAATTTCGTTGCCCCATTATCATTTATATTAATAAATGTTTCATTGCATCCAAGCCTATTTTCGACTAAATTAAAAGGCATTCTTTTTAAATTGAACCATAAAGTTTTCACTCAAATCGCCTGCCACAAAATCGCCGAGAAATCATAATAGAACATAGGTTTTATAAAATTTACTACCAATTATTGTAGTCGCAGTTAAATCAAGCGCCTGGCAACTGGCAAATATACAATTCCCCATATGTTGTGGTGGAGAGCACCTGTCAGTACGCTTATACCCCTATCACAGCGTTTAGGGTATCATATATATATGTATAATAATCTTTTTTTCGAATATTTTTTTTATCAGCGTAAGTACGCATCGTAATCCCACTGTATCACACTGCGCAGCTATTCAACTGTTGATAATACTATGCATTAGCCTATTATTTTACCTTATTATCCTGCTGTGTGGTATCGCATAGCCTGAAATAGCACCCTGACAATGGAAGCATCATTTTGATCGGTCGGTTGCCTCGTCATCTATGACTAGACGAACCAACTTATCGACTGTCGAGGCTTTACGTGCCACAGTGTAGCGCTAGGTTCGTGTGACCTGAAGTCCGTATAAATATGTAGATCCCACAGCAATGTTCGTTCTGATATCCATAGTTTAGGCCAAGGTCATCAATACACGGGAGTGACCGAGCTAATCGACAGCTGACCGGATCGTACACCCTTGATCACGGTAGTGATGGTAATAACGTTCGCAGCAATGATGATAACAGCACTTCTACGAGCATCACCAGCTCACTAGTTTTTTTATCATCTTACTTTTTTTAATTGTAAATATAGACATTTAAATTACTAGACTGGTACCGCGTCGGTAGAGCTCAGCACAGCAGAGGAGCACAACAGAAGCACGTCGTATATAACGCTCTATTGGTCGGTAGAAAGCCTCAGTTGGTAAAGGTATCGCACTAGAATAGACTGCAAAAGTCGTTGCTCGCTTGCTTACCCGGACTACCCACTACCACTGCGCTAGCGCTGATTCTCTTGTGCTGCACGAAATTGGCATATTTTCGTCAGATTGGCCTGATGAACCACCGGCTCCTAGCGTTTTAGTCCTCTTCCACTTACTGTATGATCTCCTATTTAATAACGGTTTAGTATGTAGAAGTGCAATCAGCATTCGTCGCCTACTGGAAAATTGGCATCGGCAGGAATATATCTATGCTCAGCAGAGTAGCTATGTGCCTTTCACAAAGCAGGCGCGAAATTGCAGAATCCGTTATCCAAAGGCATCGAGACGGCCCAGTCTACTGTGACTGTTGCTGTTAGTGATTGATGACCTCTTCTATGGCAGGCAGTGGCAATAGCCATTGCTACGCTTCGGGCATATGTCGATGGAATAATGCCAAACAGAGGGTTCGACTACAGCGTTGGAGCAGAAATTAAGCTCACAGGTTGCCAGTGTTGGGAAGGGCGACGGTTCAAGCGCACATCGGCAACCCAGTGCTCTGTAAGGATATGTCGGATGGAAAAGATCTCGGGTAGATATGGCGCGAACCCCACTGACGACTAACCGTTATCATATTTGCTATTTCGACTAGTAGAACTGCTGGGGAAAATTTCCTGTAATACACAGGTCCCAATAGGCCGAACGATTGCATAGTGTTTACTCTGGCCATCTGCGCTATGTAGAACAAGTGGATAATGCGGATGGAATACTGCTCATATATATATGACTGGCTTACGGTCAAAAAGCTGTTAAAGAACGTGGACGTGTTGGTGCCATCGAAGTTGATGAGGTTACCGTCGATGCGCGTGAGAGAATGCCAGAGATGCCCGTTCGGTCTTAATAATTAGCATGCATCAGCAACCCATAATGATAGGCAAAAGTAGGCAGAATAGGAACTTCTGCTTTCCATTAGGCTTTCCGGAAGTGCATGCTTGCCCACTAGCCCGAGAGACATCACTAAGACGGCTCAGGATCTAATCTCGACGTAGACATTAATTCAGATCGAGTAATAGATAAGGCGGTGAGTATGGTCATGATTAGGTATAATATGGTCCATTCCCGCTTAGTCCCACGAGATTGTTCAATTTGGGCCCTCTATGATAACTACCATGCTAGATATAGATGTGTCGATCAGTTTTTAATGTACATTGTCTCCATAGGTTCAAAAAGATGCAGTAGTACGTCTGTATGGGAGACTGTAGAAGTACTACCGGTTTCTAAGGAAATACGAGTAATCTCAGTGAGGCTTTGAATTTTTAACAGATGAATTTATTAGTATCATCGAATAATATTGTGAAAAAGCACTACCAATATTTTATAATGTCAACGAATATAGACGTAGTCTGACCACTAAATTTCAGGTAATCAGGGAAAAATTTCAACTCGAGGATCTATGTCCTAGCTCTGCTAAGCTACCGACAGACAGTATTTTAAGAGGACAGTCGTTGTGACAAAATTTTAACGAACACGTATTATTCGATGCCGTTAATTTCTGCAGCTGCAACACGAATATTAGCTATCTGGCTAAGTTGGGTCGAGTGAATATGGGCAAAAAGTCATATTCATTTAGCCTTTTTCATTCTGAGACTCATACATATCCTGTTCCGCCGTTGGGCCGTTGGGGCCGCACGGTTGCCGCAGATCCCGCTCGACTGGGGGCACGGCTGCCTACGGCTATTTTCGGATAGGGCTTTGACATCATCTCGTGGTAGTCCCCCGTTACTTCTTATTACTGTTTGATCGTTTATTTGTACGGTAAGCTCTTTTGACAAAATGTTTCGTGAGTGTCACTACCATTTCGTAGTTGATAGTAATTCAGAACAGGAAGGCAATAACATAGTTTTACGAAGATTCGGCTAAAACGCCCAGTAGTAGCGAGCAGGCTTTGGCTGGTTTTTGCTTTTGACTTTAGGGAGAAGAATATAATTGAATATTGAACGGACGGTCATTCTATATTCCGATGATTTTTTTTGTTTTTATGTATTTACACACCTGTCTACAAACAGAGAAAATAATTAATTGGAGGAATCTAATTGTAGTTAACGTATTTATAACCTTTGACGTTTTTCGTGCGCTCTTTTGAAAAAAAAAAACCTCATTTTCCCTCTACTGTTACTGCTAAAGGCCTCGTCCGTTTCCGAAATGTCAATTTAAGTTCGACTTTTATGCCTGCGACCGTTGTTTCCTAGTTTATTTCTTATTTATACCGCCAGGAATACATTATACACGATAGAAATTCAGTTACGCTTTAAACTAAGATCGCAGCTGGGAATTAAGTCTGCGACTTTTTAATTACGAGTCCAGCTATTTATAAACCCATATGTTAGGTAAGACTGATCATTTGAGGAAATCTGTCCGTGTTAACAACTACCGAACTTCGTAGGCTAGGATACCGCCGGAATTAACGGTATGAATCGTCGCTCTCATTTCGGCAATTCTTGTGCTTACTGGCGTTTATCCAACATTGGAGGTACCAATTAGCATTACGGCAGGAATCAGCCTGTACAAATCTATCTGTACACACCACCAGACGAATACGCCACCGCCGATGAAGGAAACTTGGGAGAAGCGCAAAGTGAGGCCACATCATCAGGAGCTGAAGTAGTCACTTGACAGGGGATAACTTGGCAGCTGTTGTGAGACTAATTACTTGGCTTAAGCAAATGCAACGCTAAATAAAGTAAGTTTTATGCCTTGCTAACCGTATTCTATTCATAGATTCACAAGGCGTTATCAGTTCATTTTTACCGTCACAAAGTACTGCCAAGTACAACTTATTTGTGCTTTAAACAAATATCTGAGCAGACCCACGACTACCACGAGATATTCAAAAGTGGATGCTTATCAATCTGACCAAACTGATTCCCCTGTCTGTATAATAACCGCAGCAATTGTATCTCCAGTTATTGCTCTACGTGCATAGTGACTTGGTGGAGAAGCTTGGGTCTGTTACGAAATCCGAAACACTGAAAGAGGCACCACCCTTCAACGCAATAGAACTACCTCGTTTTAGTTTGTCGCCAAATGAGGATATGCAGAATCACGCCTACGTCATTGAGCTTCGTTGCAACACTTCCGGTAAATGCTTGCTGTCGCTAGCCTTGAAAACTGAACCGTCCCAATCTATCGGTCAGGTGATTGGTTATCCCCCTTACCCTCTCTCTCTCTCTCTCTCATCTCTCTATGTATATATATATATATATATATGTAGAGAGAACTTTGTCCCCGAGATAATCACCCTATGTGCGTATATTTGTGTTCTGCATCGATGTCTCTCGACAATTTATACCACGGTCCTCGTGAGGCGATACTTTGGAGTTATCAGTAACGTCTTCTGAAGTTCTAACAACTCATGCAGGCAAGCTTCTGTCCTTCGTCTACCGCTTCGCCATCTCTTTTTCATTGCGTTGCAGCACCCAGCGACACTGCGGCTGAGTTTCTTTCTGCTACTTGTTCAAGCAAACTGTCCAATCGGAATGGAATGACGCAAAACTATCTTGGACGGGCAGAAGAGCAGCAACGTTCACACATACGGATTTCGTAAACTGGCGTAACTGTTGCACGAAGAAAAAAGCGGTGGAAGATCACGAACGTTTGCGAAAGGTCACTCAAATGAAATCTGCAAGCTATTCGCTCACTAAGCTAGTGTCTATAAAACTCGTCATCCTATGGTCTACGTGATGCTATTGATGACGGCCCCTCTGCTTCTGCCGCTAGGCAGCAGAGAAGGCCAAATGACTAGGGTTCTAGTAGGATGGGAACTGCATTAGAAATCGCCCCCTGTCGAGTAGGATTATGGGTCTAAATGTTCGATCAGGAGTCTTATGCTTCGGATCGAGGGCCTGGTTATGGCGTGGAGCGACGAATGTTTGGTGCTTCGCTTCGCTTGATTTTCCTATATAGTAGACGAAATAAGACTGCTACGAAACAACTCATAGTCGAGTGCGACATACCATTATCGAAGATATAAGAAATGATATTAGAATACAGATGATTGTATATAGAGTGTCCCTCATGTATATAGAGAGACTAAATTTAGGGGGCATACTTTCTGAGAAAGAGTAGGCGACACTCAGTGCAGTTGCCCACTCGACAGAGGCAGCATCCGCAAGGTCTCATCAAATACCTCATGATGATGATTGATCATTAAATGTGATGAATAGTGATTGTTCCTATTCCACCTTCCGTCCACTGGTGAACTCTGAACTGGCTAAGTTTATTAAGAGATAGGTCGAAGACCTATTTCACGAATAGAAATAATAACTAGGTAGTAATAGCTACTACCTAGTTATTAACATGGGAGTCGTGGATTGTTCTGTCTCTGTTAACATGCATGATGTAACAATAATAATAAACTTTAAAATTTGTTAAAATTGATATATTAGCTGAAAAACGTGTCTACAGGTATTCTCTTTTTTGCCTTAGAATGTTAACCGAGATAGCTGCTGCCGTCACTGTATTAGAAATAATCCTGCATATGAAGAGGTGTAAAGAACGTGCGGGTACTTTCAAACGTAAGTTGTGCGGGCGCTGTTTGTGTAGAAAGCTAGCAGGTCCCGCTGCCTGCTAACCTGACTAAGAGAAGTAAGATGGCCTGGTGAAAAGGTAAATCTAGCGTAAATAAAACAGACACGGCTCGATGCTTGACGGATTTGAGCTGTCAAATAGGAAGCGTTTTTTCAAGCCGCCGCCGCTTCGAAACGGGATATACATTGAAATTTGTTCACCGCGACTCGGATCCCTAGTCCTTTACTCGAAAAGGCAAATTAGAAACTGCAGTCACCTGTATGGGTATAAACGAATGCCGGTCACCCACTTAGCTGGCGACAGAACGGTTGTGACTATCGAAGTGGGTATATGCTGAACGGCGGTTTTTTTATCAATGAGCAAGCTATCGTACGATTTCCCACTCATTCGAGGATGAAGAAAAGGAATGAGAAATTCAGACGGATAAAAGCATTGGCCATACAGAGGCATTCGCATGCATTATCCCAATAGTCTATCCACTGAGCTCCTTACAGGGCGCTACAAGGACCAATACGTGCAGCAGCAAGCAACTGATCATCCTCCTGTACCGAAATCGCTATCCCTAGATGACTTAACATGACCTCATTTGGTCAGAGTGAGGCAAGAGACAGCAGGACAATACTGTCCTCGGTCGAATCTGTTTTCGAGCAAACGATTTTCAATTTTTGAATAAAAAGAGGCAATCGGTCCTAAGAAGAGGACTATTTAATCTGCACAAGGCCACGTTAAAAAATTTTCAAGTGCAGCGTCATGTAAACGTATAGTTTGTGCTGACCACGCCAGGACACATCGTCCCGCTCATTCTTTATCCGCAGTTTGCGGATTGAGTTTCCACGTTCAGCAAGACATTCATATCTAGTTGAATATGCAATAGACAAAACGACCTCTTATTGTTGTAATTCCCGGATATTTATTATTGTTCGTCCATGGCAGGAACAACCAACAAAATATCTGCATGGAATTTTAATAGGCAATATTTCAGTTTGTCCTATGTCTGAGTGACGAGCATCTAAGTCTATACGGATAACCTATATATTTGGTTATACACACGGATCGATAAAATACGGTTACTTTGTTGTCCTCCAAGCTCAATCTGCTTTTGTTTCTAAGTAAATATCTGAAGATTAGATATGTTTGTTTGGAGAGAATCTCAACTCACTTGGTCGTTCTTGACAGCGGTCGTAAGGCCGAGTGGTGTAAATGTCCCATAATCGGATTCCATAATGTACTGTACATCCGCAGCAGATTTTTTGTGCTTTGCAAAGTAGGCCTCTCCGCCAAGAATACCCACTTCCTCGGCGGTGAAGAGGACTGAGCGAATCGTCCGACGCGGAGCCAATCCGAGGGTGCGGAGCACCTGGAGAGTCCGCCAAGTTATAGCAGCGCCTCCGCCATCGTCCATAGCGCCTGTGGTTTTTCCAGATGGCAACAAAAAGATTTTTAAACGAACTATAGCTATATATATATATAGCCGTACAATAGGATTATATTGCTTAGTTTCCATACCTTGTCCGACGTCCCAGCTGTCGATGTGTCCACTAATTACAACGAATTCGTTAGGTTTTTCCGTACCCCTCAAGTCTGCTATTGTGTTACGTGAAGTTACGGTTTTTTCATCGAGATGAGCCGTTGACCGAAGAAAAACACGCAGCTTTTCACCTATTGGTATATAATTCACAAGCGGATACTCCAGAACTGAACGTGTGATACTATACTTAAATGGTAAATTTTCGAATATTTCACTGCTCATCAGATTAGTCTTCAATGAACTGTACATCTAGAATTCTACCTTATTAAAAGGTTCTTGAAGTTTATATAGCTACGCAGTGAACGTTTTTTGAAGTCAACTACATACCAGTATCTATAATAGTTACGTTTCTGTCCAGCCAGATTTAGATGGCATAAAATTAAAAATTGTGATTTTTTTTTTAGCCAATTCAAACGTGATGTCATTTTTGTTAATAAACAAATGATTCGTATGAATCTCATTTGACCGCCCATGTACCAGTGGTCTGTTCGTTCGTTACGAATCCTCAACAGTTTGGCCAACCCCATCGATCTATGCACAGTCACCCATATCCTACGTGTTTCACGCTCTAGAAGCATGCTGCAACGAGTCCATTCTTTTAGCTACTTCTATCTAGCGGGGTTGGTTCGGATATCCAACCAACAGATATCCAAGCTAACAAAGCCTTAGTTGTTTGTTTGTCACAGACCTTCAAAGATTCAGGGGCGATCCGACAGAACCGTGTTAAGCCTTGCAGCAGGCATGTCCCATCGGACTTTCTTTCGCGTGTTGCTCCCTTCGTACGCTATCCATTGGGCGGTACGTACCTCACAGTCTGCGCTCGCTGACACTTTTGCTCCTATTTAGTTTATTTCGCCCTGTCATACATAGGACAGCTTTAGAAAACAACCGACTTCTCTTTCGTTCAATTCAAAACTGATTTTCTGTCGCCAACACGGGAGCTATGCGCACCACGCTCGAACTGACACAAAGCAATGTGACGTAGGTCTTCCCTATCGGGAATAACAACTAACTGCAAAAGGGCACACTGCATTCTGGCTAGGTCGTACTTTTGTTAAATACACAATTTACGCAGAAGCTCGAAGCTGGCCTTTAGTGTAGGGCAGTTGTGTCAGCTTAAACGTAGGACCTCAATGCGGCTTTGAATTCTCGTCCAAGAAGTAATAGATAATAGATCATCCGGAATTCAATAGGTTATCGAAATCTATAGCGCAAGTGGGAAGCGGAAACGACTGTATTACATTTGAACTTCTTGAAAATGTTTTCTGATTCGTCAGCGGATCATTGTCTGGGCCAAATATACCTGGGTTTAGACCCAGGTTTATAAAGGCACGTTGTCAAGTAGGTCGAGTTGACCTTCATGGCAGAGGGGTGACTGGACGCTGATTCCATTCAGTTGCAATCTGCTGATGCCCAGTAATAGCTGTGAACAGAATGGCCTGTACGAAGTACTTAGCCAACTGCATGTGATACATCACACACACACACGCCAGTAGTAGTAAAACGAAAAGATGAGGATTGGTTATTTATTTTCGTAGGATTCATTATCAAAGTGATCGCATACAGAAAATCACGACAGATTTTCGAGGATATGTCTTACTCATACATGCTCGTGATTGGAGCCGAAAGAAAGCACATTTCTTATAAAAATGGCAGCAATTAAGCCTCGTGGACGTGTACGGCCGATTACGACCATCGACCCGAAATTAAAGAAACTAGCTTTATTCTTCATTGCATGTGCGTCTTGACGTAAGCTTGATCACGTCTGCAGTGTACTAGTGCAAACGTAACTAAATAATATATAATATACCAGTGGCTTGAACAGATCATTATTTTGGTCGGCTGGGAAAATTAACGAATTCACCGGATCGTAGGAGAAATATATCTACTTACCTCTTTGCTGCTTTCTCCACATAAGATCCGCTTCTTCTGCCGTAATACAAACACCCGGAATTTTTGGAAATTTGCTGTCGTATGTCATCATGCCTGTATGTGGTGTGTACAGAGAATGACCAGTGACCGACCGAACTATTGCGGCAATAGCACCTTTTGAGGCTGCTTGTGAGGCACCCATCAACCTGTACTTCACTGTGGTTTCGTAATTGACATAGGGCTGATTGTATACGACAATTTTGCCCTGAATCTGTAAAATGAATACCAGTAATTGGCGGATTAGGCATCTGTAAGAAATAAAACTATAGACAGGTCGAGGCAGATTAAACATTATCGTCTTGAAATGTAGATGGGACATTATACGATCTTGACTACGTCATACTCGATTGTATCCATTGCCAATTGATAGGCTACCGCTGAAAATACTACATAGTGAGTTTAAATTTGCGTTAGCCTGGGGGATCCTTGAAGGATTTCAACGTTGGGCTGAACTTAATGCCCTTAAGACAGCGCTGATCTTTTCTCTAGTTTGCCTATCCAGTGAGCCTTCATTTGTGGAAAACCTTCATGTACCAACATTCGTGTAGTTGATAGGCAATTCCTCGTTCTGCCATAGTCAGCATAGTTAAATTGTGCGTTTGTGAGAGGGGCCATTACGTTCTTGGGATGTTTGTGTGATACGTGTGTGCTTACGGGGAAAAATGAGAAATTAACGCTGCCTTAAGCGTGATTACGATGGACTTGAAGACTGTCACAACTCTTCTTGAATGAAAATAGGACAATTCAGATAGTGCAAGTAAGACGCCTTACTTAGCTTGTACAATGTAATGTGTAATTCAAATAAAAATTTCGGCTAAAAAAATTAAGTGGAATAGGGAACGATATTATACTAGAAGGTATACATCTTTGTAGGTATACGTCTTTGTATATGCGATTAACACACTACAATTCTACCTTCAATAAGAAGAGAATAAGAAGATACGCCTAGAGATTCGAGAAGCTAAGAGCAGATGTGTGACATAACTAACCTCGCTGTCGGGTTTGGCGTGCATTTCATCGAACGATCTGACCACGATGGCCTCGGCTGTAAGCCCGTTGGCGGAGGGAGTGCCTACAGAATATCCAAGGCTTAATAGCCCCAACGTCTTATTTCTGCCGCCCTCCCAGGCGTTCAGTAGAACTGCCTCAGTTTCGCCACGGTTCCAACGAGGAACTTCAACATACTCTGTATGAACCTAGATCGATGTCGCGAAATTAATAGGTTTTTCACTGCAACTAATCCTACATTCGATTAAACACATCATGCAAACGGCTTCTTTTTATTGACACTTGCCCCAACCAATATTCACGCAAGCTGTCGTTTGTAGATACAGGTGTAGTTCCTCCGAGATGGATATAGGTGAACTCCGTAGCATGGCATTATGAATGCGTTTGTAACTGAGAATCAACCCCCTCAATCCGATTTTCATTATAATTGCTATTAACTACCAAACTTAAACGTTTAAGGACACCGTTAAAAAGATTTTCGTCAGCAAGGTTTCCAAAGCTACCCGACCCACCTGGGAAGGTCCGAGTTGAACCACGTCGGTGAAGTATTTCACTCGGTCATCGATGGCGTTCTCGAGATCTGTTGTTCCAGTGAAGCGCGGCCCATGTTTATCAACAAACGCCGCCAACTGACGCCATGTCTCGCCCTTTTCTATCGAACCAGATGCAATGTTGTTCCATCGAGACAATTATGCAGGAAAGCCGCGACACAAAATGCGTGTTATTGATGAACAACTAATCAATAGAACATTTATTATATTTTAGAAATTTTTTTCACACATCCAGACATATTATTTATATGTTCCTCGGGGTATATTCAAACGGAAGCTATAATTGATGTGATAATGACGATATATGTTTATATATGATAGGATGGTTATTTTATTATTCCGCTGTCGTAAGTTCAAGCGTTTAGAGGAGCAATTTTGAAATCATGTTACGGTTTTAATAATTTTTCATGAGGTCTTGGTAAGCAGTGTCCGGCGAACGTACTAAACCATACCGCGTCTAATTATTGACTTGTACGTAATCGGAGGACCAAGACACGTGAAGCTACAATGGATACACCTGCATCAGATCTTCAAAACTGCTAAGGTGATGTTTTACTGGTTCAGTTGCATCCGTCTGCTGGCCTAGTCGTCTACGGTTATCACAGAGGATCCCTTTTCTTTGTTACAAGTCGCTATATGGTAACAGAATGGGTCATTGTTATCACGAAAAAACAAAGAAAAACAAACGCTAGTATGCTTTCGTTGTTAATCTTCCTTTAAGTTATGTGACACGTTGGTTTAATTTTGTTATTACCTCACGGCTTTGTCAGATTTTTGGCGTATCTTCGTAAAGCCCTTTCACAAAACACATTTTTGCGGGTAGGATTTTTTCTTGAACGAACAATTCACCGTGTCTCTTGTAAGAGAATCTTCACTGAAGACCAGGTTTATATAGTGAACTGGCTCCGCCGCTGCTGTTGGAACCCATGTCGTGATCTTCTATTGGTCCACTATGACTCGCCTACTATCGAAAAATATCCTAGTAAACGGTCTCTGATTTTCAGAAATACAGATATAGCCAGTACCGCGATGTGTGAATATGTAGACCCATTATTTCTGCGTGAATAACTAAGCAGTGATTGACAAAGACAAACAGCACGTACTACCTACCATGCATGAAACGACGATAGATTGATCGTCAAGCAAATTGTATGGCCGGATAACAGTCAATCGGTAGTTAAAGATGTTTGAAACGCAGTAATCTACAGAACGACCTGTCTATCTAGTGTCGTACGTATGCGCGTACAAATAAACCGTACCTCTGTATTTTCGATCGGCAGCTAAACATAGATATTACGTGGCCTTTTGCGATACTGAGTTTTTTTTACCTTGTCATACTAATAAGTTAAGTTTATTAGTACCCCTTTACTTTTTGTGGTTTTTGGTAATCTTAACATGGCATACCGATCGGAGGTGCGAATTCCTTGCTATATTATGAGTCATTTCACTTTATAGAAAGATAAATTATACATGTAAACGTAAGCTGGACGCCGCTTACTGCAGGGAGTTACTAAGGAGGGAATGTTATTTTGTTTGATCCTATTAGACGTTTGTCGTATCACTGAACTTTGCCAAAAACCCAAGCAAAATTTAGCACCTAACCTAGCTATTATTATGTTTCGCGTTTGTGTCATATACTTCCGTGGCCATAGCGTTCATCGAGTGCCTCGTAACGAGGCAAGCCATAAAATACTTCTTATAATTGATCTATTTAAATGATTAAATCTAGCTCTGATCAGAAACAAAATATTAATTAAGAACGCAGTTAAAAAGAATATTTAAATTTAGTATTTAGTTTCATAAAAAAACATGTGTATTGTATATTTAGCCAATATTGTTTTATGTGTATATTTTGGGCGTGTGAGCCAAATTTATATTTGAACTAAATAATCATTTATGCCACAGAGTCACTTATGGCTGTCCTGAATAGTTATCAAGGGCACAAATGAGTGCATTGGATCCTTCGGCAGGGCGTAAATCCGCAGACTTCTGGAGTGATGGGGCGTTGTGTCTGTTTCGCTTCAGGCTTGGCCTGTTCTGTACAATTTATTTAAGACTTTGTTCTGCTCAATTTCCTCCTAGGGCTCATTCCTATTGACCCCCCCCCCCCCCCCAAACAGAAGATGCGCGCTTCTCTACCTCATACCTGACCGCCAGCTGCGACTAAATACCCACAGGTTTATTTTACGGGTTCGGTGCCGAACACGCGAAAAAACGCGGATCAAAAAACAGTTAGTTCGTTTCTATTGCATTGTGGTTTTTACTTACCATTGGATTTTATTGTATCGGTTCAATAAGTGAAAGCTAGCCGGTTAGTCCGCTTATTTTGGACGTATTGAAATCACGTAAATTTCTTAATAGCAAAAGAAAATGTGTGATACTTTTGAAGAACAACGGTAAACGTAAACAAGTGATATTTTCCATATGAGTCGGTACATTTTTCTGACTTCTAAGTGAAAACATATAAGAAAATGTTAATGGACTGAGCCTGTTTATTTACCTATACATGAGCACGAATACGAATTCCTATCCATATCGTATTTGCCTGGACGGCATCACATTTTCTGAACCATGTTTGCCAAAAAAGCACCCTTAATGATGGCTGTGAAATAACAGACTCGTTACGTAACGAGTCTCACTTGTAGTCTCTCACTTACCACGTTCCAGACAAGGGACAATTCTCTAGAATAAGCGAAACAAAATCAAGGCTTTCAGAAATGAATTATATTTAGTAGGATGCGCAACCAAAGGCGCAGTGGCGTCCTCAGGACAAACTTACCGGTAGTCAAAATGTGATTTATAATTTTGTCCACATCTGCCTGATACGAACGGATTTCTTTAACAATACTAGGATCTAATTTGCCCTCGCACAGCGTCTTGTCATGTAGGTGGGCATCAGTTTGATGATAGGTCAGAATAAGGCCCGTAACGGTAGACACCAACCCCAAGCAAGTAGTAGCTGAAAATTTCGAATCAGCAAAATAACAAAAACGACGATAAACGTTTTTTGTTAATACTTGATCACATTACTGTAAAGTGGCACGTAATTATCTAACATGTCGACTGATCGTTAACCCAGTGATTGAAATTTGAAAACGGAAGCTTGCTTAAATACTCCACGGCAGTTCTAGGCTATAGGATCTCTTGAAATTTGCGCCGACACAAATATAGACAAGCTCAATAACTTACCGAACGCGAACTTCATTATGAATGCGTAACTGTTTAGCCTCGTTTCTTCTAGACAGTAAGGGTAGGTAGGTAGGTAGGTAGGTAGGTAGGTGTCTTTTTTTGAATCGCTCAGATCACCTGTATACGAAATAGCATAGAGAGTAAGTTAGGCACTTCCCAGTTACCCTATCTATTCCGAACCGGAAATATCCTAACCGATGGGATATTGTTTTCGCAGAAGGCAGATCTACGACTTCATATACATTCTGCAACTGACTTCGTTTCAAGTCAAATATATAAATTGCAGATACTCCGCCAAAAAACTACTGTAACTGACTGTCTCAAAGGTTACACTTCCGAGCCAGACCGATGCCTGTCGCTCATACACACGCACAACCCGTTTTAAATCAATATCCAACAAAGCAACCACTTTGATGAAATGACTTTCACGCTAATTCCACGGAGAATTAGGTCCCATTTTAAATTGCGTGTCTCAATTTGGTTGCGCTTTCGGATTTTACTTCCACGTACCTGTTAGACATATATATATATAACTCGCTATCGGAGTAATTTTCCAAAGTGAAGGCAAGTTTATCCTTAAGCCACATTGAACCTTGCGCTATGAACTACAACGAGAATCAATTACGAGCACTAGCGCGGGTTTGTGTTTTAATCTTGAGGATCACTTACGACCAATTTAAGATGTACATTCGATAAAAATATGGCTGATCACAGTTACCTAGATCAGAAGACAGGGATCTGCTTCAAGCTTTGATAGTGCGAACATTTACTCGAGACTAACCTGTCATTCGCAAACTGTAAACTTTACAAGTTCAGTTATAAACTTGTATAGGCGCTTATGACAGCTATTTACGAAATTCGTGAATAACTTTAAATTTTATAGTATAATACCTACACGGCATAGTTTTGGCGGCTATAATAAAGAAGCTATGCATATTTATCATTCAATAATTCAAGTTCAACTATTGAACATGGCGAAATGTTATACGTTACATGGCGAGCACGCTTCTATGGCTGAGTCATCGTAACTTGATTTGGGGGGCAATCAACGCTACAGGCAATGGTATGTTTGTGCTTTTATTAGTTGTCAGTCTGCAACCCATTCGGGCGACCCGATGCACGTATCAAATGCTTAAACACCTACATTGTGAGAACTTTGGTAACATTATCTGCTGTTATCTTATTGTATGAGACCTCGTCCAGGCCAAATCAATACTGGACAAATGTATCTCTTAAACTAATGACAAATCAGAATCAGAGAACGTGATCCATATGTTCAATATTAACGGCTTTCATAAAATATCGTAATGTAAATAATCGTCATGGGTTACGAGTAACGCAAAAATTGTAACGCATTATTGCGAAGCAACAATAACAAAAAAATCCTGAAAATTGAAGGACAATTCTATAGCTATTTAGTAGGTCCGCGTTGGGCTACCATGTTGTATAACTAAGCCACGCACAAAAGACAGAGTCCATTGTTTATCGTTTCTTATGGCGATTGTCGATTAAGAAATATTTTCAACAAACTACAATGACACCGAATGATTCTTGTTCAGGTAAGCACTCGCGGCCGGCACCGCTTGACGGCTTTAGCGGACCAAATGACGTCGTAAGTCGAAGGGTTGGTGGTCGTTGATCGTCCGCCATTCCCGGACACTGCTATCATAACATAGTTATGCCAAAACCACTTCCTGCATAAAACGGTGATTAAACGACAATCTTCTATATTTACTGTTAAACTTCTCACGAAACGGCCATGAGATTTTAGGTTAACAAGACCGAACGGCCATACTAACGGCCATTGAACTACATTATCGACCTCTTTCTCTTGTCGGAGGAACGCTGCCAGTTAAATCATATGCATTGTAAGATGATTTTGCTAAGGACTTAACGATAACGATTATCTATTGTTATTTTGGTTTTTTTTAAATAGAAAAACTTTAGCAGATCGATTGGCTGGTTAGGTATACGAGGAAGCTCTCAACGACAGTAGCGTTACACATTTTTTTTTTGTCCAGAAGCATAAAAATTTCATTATACTTCATTTGAGTTGTAGCTACCTGCTATTGCAGGACAAATATGCCAATGTGCGCTTCTATTGTCTACGTTTTTTTGTTTATACACCGAACTCCAGTAGTATGTTAACCCCGCGCAAAAACAGATATATAGCTCTACGCTTAAAATAACGTTTTTGTGTACATATCGTTTGCTTTGTCTCTTTGCCGACGCCAATATGAAGGAATTAGTAAGAAATCTGTTTACTAAAGAGGGCTTATGCCGAACATACTGCATAGCAGATCTTTCCACATGTGCATGATGCTAACTGTACATATTCCGTAATCGCTCAACAGCCCATCGAATCTACTTCAACGACATATTCGTGTGTGCGCCAACACGGGTGAAAGCTACTGACATTCGTTACCTGACATATCCTTATCGTTCGCTAGTGTGACTCAACACAGGGAGCGACTGCATCTTATTGTCGCAAAGGCCTGTTCTCCAGAAATGACTGAACACCACGCTTTCGTCGTTTGCAACCTTTTCGTACCACCTCACATTGCTACTCGTGACACAGATCGACACGGACATTCTTATACTGCTTACGCTAGAAATAGCTGCTTAATTAACGTCAGCAGCGTCGCCGTGGGCTTCGTTTTCGTAAATATGCGTGAAAAATCCGAATATTGTAATAGTATAGCAGTTGCCTTTTTACGGCATAGAAAACTCCGTAATCACACACGGACATCGTGGGTTAAAGCCAACTTTCTATATTCCTTTACTCAATCCAGCAATTGCCACATTGCGATGAAGTCCGACATTGCTATTAAGCAGCTAAACTACACACTTTCGATTCATGTGGCTGTTAATGGTTTACGAGTCTCCTGATGAGGTTGAGATAATCTGGTTGCATTTGCTGTTTCGCTTTCGGCGAGTGCTCGTAGTAGTAGTGGTAGTGGTAAACGCCTCGGATGTCCACGTATATATTGCCATCATCTTACCCCGAACTCATTTTCTCTTCAGGGCGACGCTGTTCTTTTGCCAGCTTTATCTCCGAATGACGGTAAACACTAAACCAGCCCTTATTTATGGCAAAAACAGGTTTTTTATTGATTTTAGTTCCGCGAATAGCGCATAAAATTCATCACATGCACTTCTAACTAGATTGAACTTCATCGTGAAACACAACTTACGCATTTTCAGTATTTGGGTTGAAATTCTGTAACACACAATGTGGATAGCGCCAGTGTTGGCTAGCCGAGCTTTCAAACCTCAAGCTCTGCCTTCGTGAGAAGTCCGTCAGTTCCAGGAATAAGTTTTTGCACTTCGGATTTTAAAATTTGGTTACCTCCTCGGTGGTGTTTAGCGCCCCCGTTTTCGTTTTAGAATCATTCGTATTATTCACGTAGCGTGGTTTCGTTCAAGATCTCCCTGCCTGATGGCTTCACTCACCTCGGACACATTTATGTAGTGCAACAGATATATTTTCCTCATGAACTCACTTCTCCTCGAGTAAATTCAACCAGTTTCCTTTCACATGTCCTCGAAAAGCTGGCCAATTACCAGCTAAATTAGTTATATATATATATATATAATATATATATATATTATATATAGCTATATATACATATGCTAATTATCTCAAACAATGCTCGATTCTCGTGACTTTATGCATAAGCATGTTTTGACAAAACTTGTATCGTATAAACGGCATCCTTGAAAAAAATCAGGTTCATGTTCTCTTGTTCATAGGTTCGGTAACAGCTTTCGGACACTAGATACGTAATAGTGTGAACTGACAAGTTACAACCTAGGATTGTTTAGGTCGGCTGGTTATTTCTCGTCGACGATTCAAGCATATCCGCATCGTGAGATATAGGCGTCTCCGAAACTCTTATTTTGCCTGTTCGTTACTCGTTAGCTCTGTTTGTTTATACTGCTTGTTTGTTTTGAAGACAGCACTCATTATATCAATAATTTGCCAAAAACAGTTAGGCAATGGTTGACATTGTCGAAACGTACTTTACCACGGCGATCTCACATTCGCATAGCACCAGCGCCTCTAGTGGCGATTTTGAACTGTGCCAGGCGGACGACTTCGTGCTATATGAAAGTAACGGGGCAGATGCGATAGCCGGAGGCTAACGTGGCAGATCTACGATGCTGATGATGAGCTTTTATGATTCAATAATGTTTCTTTTCAAATTTACATCGACCCTTTTTAAAATAATTAATAAGTCAAAGTCGGCACAACTTGACATCAAAAGAAAGGCAAAGCAGAACAAAAAAACTTAGATTGACCTTCTATGAAACCGCTGATATTTTGCGTATGTTCATGTCGCAGACAGTAAATCTGGCAATGTACATAAAATTTTGTACTGAGCCACAACGTATACCTGTCTAGCTCGACTAAAATTTTATCGTAAAGTTCAAAATAGACTACCGTTTCTAAGGTCACGATGCTAAAAAGCGGACAGCTATCGACTTCCCAGAGCGAAAACGAAGAGCCTTTGGTTTGAATGAGCCGATCAATTGTATTATCAAATAGATGCAGATAGCTATATATAATTGTTCAGACTGTCAGCGTCTCGAAGTTCTCGCTTACCCGTAGTAGGTTCGTGTACCAAAATTGTCATAACGTATATGGAGATACGAGCAGTACCTATGGAGCAAGTCGGCCCTATCTGAAACTACGTATCCCTTAATTTAATCCGCCAGTTTAAAAGTGAATAGATGGAAATTATCGTGTTGTCACTGTCAACATCATAGTTTCCCAATTGATTGATCCCAGTTCCATGTTACAGCGCAACCGTTACACAGAAAATTAAATCGAGCACCATCATGACGTGTTTCATTCACTTGGTGACTCTGATAAACCATGATTGATCGAAATTTAAAAACATCTGAAAGTCGCTTTCTGATATCAGTCTATTCATTGCTAACAACGTATCATAGCTGGGAATCGTGAGTAGATGATTTTTACAAGGATCGCATGATGGGCTGACGCCTGTCCATTAACACTAATGAATCAGTGACAAGGGCATAATTCGCTCATGATCTGAGCGGATCTGATCGCCACGTGGACGAGTGCCGTTTGCACATTGGATTAGTATCGAAGGCCAGTCAATCATCGCAGTCACGCACTGAATCATTAAGTACAATATCTATGTCTGTGTGTCGTCTCTCGGTCATCCAGCTGTGCTTTCAGTAAGGATCAGTCCTTGCTACAAACTGAATAGGGTTATACAGTAATCTTTACTATACGTTGCTACTGCAGACGCCGCGGGGACGTAACAATCTACCTACCGTGATCGATGTCGTTTGCTGAACGGTTGTTGTTCCAGGCCATCAAATGCGTGCTTGTCGCTGGCCTTCGCCTCTAACAATCATCCGCTTAAACCGCGTCGCATTGCTTCGGTCATCTAACAGAGCTGCATTTGCTCGTAGTCGTGTAATTATTGTCATTGACGTGAGAGAGCATACAGGTGGGCAAGGTGAGATTTTAGCGGCTGAGAAGCCCCAGGATCCATTCACTGAGCCACCAATGGTGGGAGCGGGGGGCGGGGGCGGTAGCCGCCACACAGTAACAGCGTCGAGTTTCTTCTGCCAGTCATCAATATGGATGAACACTGTTGTTTTAGCAAACTAACAACTGACCAGCTGTTCAGGCCAATTTTACGCAGTTAGTTCTATGTGGCCTGCTGTGTCCGCCCGTCATTACTTAACATTGGATTACAACGAGGCGGCAGCGCCTATGCGATGTTAACGTATGATCGTTATCATACGCTATGCTACGACGCTGCCGTTGCCGCTACCCGAATGAATTCAAGACGTCATATGGTAGCTCGATGCGACGTTGATGCGCTAACGGGGATACGATCCAATTCACCATGTTGATATACGTTTCAAGAACACGCGATTCTTGACCGCGCGCCTGTTACACCTCCAGTAAACACAAGTGAAAAAGAAATAACGCCCTTGTAAGTAAAAAAAACACCAACGATCCGCACAGTGGCGCAGATAGCGACGTCCGCGTGAACAGCATCAGCAGCGGACCAGCGCCGTCTGGCTAAACGCCGTTCAGTCGATAGTCGACGGCGTCCATCGAGGGAGCCAGCATGTTTACCGCTAAGCGAGCTGGTTCCTTGGTGCTGGGCTACAAAAAAAAACTCGCACGCTGGTGGAAGTTGCTGTCCTTTGTTACTTGATCGTGTAGTAACGATTGTTGTACGAGGCCGCTAATTTGCTATACGCAGACGCAAAAAGCAACGGCTAGAACTTCCGGTAAACTGTAAACAAATCAAGACGACATAACATAATTAGCATTGCCGTCCTCCTTCTCCTTTTCTTCACCGTCATCGCGACGCACAAATGAAAGGCGCCCTAGAGGATTACAAATATCGCGCTTACCGTCAGTTTAGTACGGATTATTTGACTACTATTTGATGCTGTGTTTTTTGCGTCGTTAAGTTGAGATTCTGGCTGACAAGTTGTGCGGAGAAAAGGAACATAGGAGATTTTGTTGCAGGCGCGTATTTCATTTAAGTAGGCTAATGTGCGTTCGTGTTGATAGGGCCTTCTACGTGTAGGACGACTAACAGTGACTTAAACATTAATAGAAGAATGGTTATGCTAACGCCATCTTGCTTATATTAGATGTGGGAAAATATTCTGGGGTGGTTGAAATTACTGAAGTGGCTACCAGATATGTTTGTGTGAAAGGGATCGAGTGAGACGGCTATGTGATACTGAGGCATTGACGATCTACAGCGTGAGTTGAAAATCTGTGACAATCAAACGGTAGTAGGTTGTTGTAACAAAGATGCCATCACACGCTTTGATATTGCTGACGAAACAAATTCCACACAACAGAAAAAAAAAGGAAACAAATTGTCTGTAATACGTCTTTCGTAATCATATTTTCAATCGTATATCTAAATTATAGCGTTTCGTCAGATACTTAGAGGAGTCAGCTTTGATATGGCTAGATCAGGTAACCGGGAGGATCTCAATACGAACGAGTTGCATTTTCTGTCTAAGCTGAAATACGTAACCGTCAGCCCGTAATATATAATCGCCAAACTATTAATAAATAAGGGCCTGAAAGGCAAAACGGCTCAATGTTACATGGTGCAGCGACGGCGTCGGCATTTTAAGTGCTAAGAATCAACGACATAGAGCTGATGGTCCTCAATTCTTGTCGTTGCTCGTTTGTGGCCTTTAACGTGACTTTGTATACCGGCAAAATTGTATGCAGACGCCGCTGGTTGTACTGTACATCTCCAGACCCACTCAATAGATGCGTCGACGCAAATGATTGAATTTGTTACGGGTCCCTTCGTCCCAGATGACCGGCATTGTTTAACATTTGTAGATCGTTGAACATCGAATCTTTCTAATACATCTAACAATTCATTTTTGGCACATTCAATGAACTATTATCACAGTAGCACTTGATAAACTATATATATATATATATAATAATAACGCGTAGCTTATCCATTGCGTTGCTCAAACACAAACATGAACCGTTACGTATGTAAAAAAAAATCGAAGTTTCTGCATTGTACATGCGTTACCTCACAGGCGTCACTATACACCTCGGCCGTCCCATCTGAACAATTCTGCTATGCCTCTAACAAACAATGGTCGCCAACTCTCGAACGCTCAATGCGGAAACAAATTCAAAAGGAAAAGGATGTTAACCTTGTACGATGAGGCATAAACAGCCATCACTCCAACTACACGAAACGGAGGGACGTCTACAACTACAATTTTCCATTAATATGTTGAACAGAGCAAGCTTTCTTCTTTTTGAGATACGCCCTGTAAGTCAAACTCACACTTCGTTAGTTATATGGTGAATTTTTTTGTTAAAAAGATATTGCTTTCAAAAACTTGAAGCTATTACGAAGAAACGAGATAAAGCGGCACTCATGAGATAGTAGTTCTTCAAAAAGACTTGGAATATTTCTACTGGCTAGTTATTATTTAATGCAGATTGTCGATGGACACTTAATAGGTATTAAATTTGTCATTTGTTTATAAGCCCATACGCCCTTGTCGATATACTTTGAAAGCATTTCGTATTTACAGCATGCGACTCGTACGCTTAGTACTAAACGGGATAAACGTGAATCCGTTCGGTTCAAAAGGTCAGTACAATTTTGTGTGCCGTTCGTTTGTACCGAACCTCCGACGAAAACGATACTAAGTAGAGCGTTTCAGCGCACTGTTACAGGCAACGCGCTAATACATTATGTTTATATGTTTCACGCATTATGTAATCGATAAATGGATCCGTCTGTGTGTATTTATATTGCGTAGATATCGAGCCATCGGGAAAAAATAGGAGAATGAGCAACTCAGCCTGAAGTCCTTGTACAGATTCCTGCTTTGAGGACTTAGCCAAGCTACTTAGTTCGAGACGAGAACTATTTACAATTCGGTCTTCACCTGTAAACCTTGAGACTCTCTCCGATTCGCAAAACGAAAGCTTAAATTGTGCCCATCTGGCCCACACTGGTGACAGTCTGCGTCTGACACCTTTTCATGCCAAGAAGCTTGACAGAGTATGCATATACGCCCCATCATACACTAAATATGATGGCTGAAGATGTTTTATCTGATAACGCCTCGGTTTCATGGAAATAGAAATTCAATACAATCGAAGAATCGGTTACTGCAATATGGAATAATATGGAAGGCGTAAGTGAGAAGAAAAACTTACACAAAATACCAAATCTATGCCCCGTATACACTCAAAAAAATCTTCGGAAGAGAGAGAGAGAGAGAGTTTCTTCATCTTGCGTCGAAGCTGCATGCTTTTGAGAGCTGCACGTGAAATTTTTAATTTACAACTTTCAGAAATGGTTTACGCTTCGTGCACAATACGTGATGGCAATCGTATTGAAATATATGTATAAATCGTGATTATCGTCGTATCAAAATTAGCCATAGCTTTGTCAGTATTGAAATTCGTTAAGTAGAGCACAGAAACTGTCCGCAGTAAACGTGTTCTATGAAATGTAGTCAAGCAGATGTTGAAATCCACATACAAAACTTTCACTCATAACGGAGCTGATAGCTGACAGATCATTCGTGGGTAGCGTATTTGCCTGCCAATCTTACGGGTACGTTGTGGTTTAAGTTCGAACCTGGGTAAAGACAGACCTCGTTTCGTGCAGGAAGCCGGGCGTCTGATGGAATTTCTAACGGCGATACCGGATATAAAACTCGAAACTTAGAGATCAGGTGGTTGGCAAGGCGCCCCTCAGCCGTGTCTTTGTACCTTATATGCTGAGTGAAGGTCGCACGGGCTTCGTCAAAGAAGGCACCTGAGAGTGCAACTGCTATCGGACAAGCTTACAAATTGTAACTGTGGGTTTGAGATTCTTCTCCTCTCAACGCAGGTTTAAGGGACATTCCGCGTCTCATACAACTTTAAAAAGGTTAAAGCTACGACAATTAGGCCACCTTCTCACAGAAGGCTGGGAAAATCGAATATATGAGACAGGTTTTGCTGAGTCGGGCTGCAACCCCAGAGAAACGAGCACATTGTTTGACGGTTCCGGTTGCATACGGTATGATAACATCATTTATGGTCTACCCTGTCGCGATCGTGAAACCAAACAGTACACTACAATAGGTCCAAATAGCTTTTCCAGTCGAACGTAAGGTAAGTAAGTCCATGTATGCTAGATGTATTTAGTGCTTGCGACCATAAACATAAGAAAAAGCTTTTTTCCTACCGCGTTTTAGAAATTTCATATTAACATCAAACGATAACAATCAGAATTTCTTTTAACATGTAGTAGTATGTGGGGAACATGGAAACAAGGATTAATAGTCATGCCTACTAAACAATCTACGATGAGGGCTGGAAGTGTTGAGTAGGGGCCACACGAAATCGTGGAAAACTTGACTTCCCTGCTGAGCAAGATAGACCTGTGCTACTTCGCCAATATTTGTTGCGACGATCACTACTGCCGTCAGCATCCGTTGCTGAATTCTTAGGTAGTAATGTAACTATAATCGCAAACGACATCCTCCGACATTTTCATGTTGGAGAAGTATCGAGGGCAACTTATGAAGTGGAATCTAGAAGAGCCTTATGCAAACAGGAACCAAGTGGTCGAGGATGGAGATGAACTTCACGTCCAAATCTATGCCTAACTCGGGTCTGGAGCAGTTCTAATTGACCGTTGACCAATCGACACTGATAATCGTCCTTAACTAGGTTCATTTCGACTGCACTGAAACAAAGCTCGTTTCGAAAAAGCTGCTTTTTTTTGACATTGCATTCTGTAACCTTTATAGTTTGTGTAGTTTAGTTTGACAATGAGCTTGCACTGGAATTATCCTTGCCAAGCAGGCATCCGCGTAGGTCGAAAAAGCGGGAAACTAGAGTATGCTACCCAAAATCGATGGAAATACTATTTACATAACGTAAATACGGATGTAATTATGTGACTTTTTTTGTCGTTCACCAGGGCTAAAAAGCTGTAACGCGGAAATAGATATGGCGTATACGAGGTGGATCGTACAGATAGTCCGAAGTACGACCCAAAAGAGACTCTCTTAAGCTCAAAAGTGATACCTTCAATTTAAACCATGCGTTTCACTCAGTTCTTCGAATACGTTCGGTGCTACCATTTTAAAAGAAGGATCATTACCTTCTAATCTAATATATAAATACATTTTTTAGCTATAGAAATTATGCCGTAAACAGAATAAGTGTCCTGAGTATGCGTAGCTTAGCATTACACAGTATCTAACATTAGTTAGACAGAAACCTAATGGTTTGATTATGGATTCTATCCACCGTAGGATAGAGCCAAACTCTGCTAAAAAGCTTCATTTGGTATCTCTTGACAACTCAGTTTATCAGCTTGTGCTGAAGTCCAAATTCTATGTCGTGCTTTGTATTGTGCTTCTAACGGGCAGTCGCAGTGGAGAAACGCGCTAAGAAGTATTACTAAAAAGTTACTAAAAGTGTTATAAAAAAAGATTTTGCAATACTCTACGCCGAAGCACGTTCGAGCGCTTCAGATCTTGTAGACTATTTACCGCGATAATGCACGGACTCATCTGTGCCGTAACCCGTTTTTTGAATCAAAGCTTAACAGCTATGTGACTGTAATTCTCGTATTTATCCTGCGCTTTGTCTTCTTTTTTAGGCTTGAAAAATAACGCGAAGCGGAAACGGTTTAGGGAACAACGCAATAAAAACAACGACAATTAGAATGAAGCTTGTGCTCCTAATACTGAAAACGATTGGGAAAAAGAAGCACACGCATATTAAACAAAGAAATCTTCAATACCTCGTTGGTCCAGTAGTTATCAAGAAATCATCAATTTTTTTTCTATGCCACCCGTATGATAACGGCTGTAAATAGCTAGAGGCGAAGCTGCGTGATGCTTTGATGTTTACTCGATATTTTTATGGCTATCACATTGTCCTTAAGCCGCCATCTGCACTGCGTAATAATATCTTGGTAGCTTGGCTAGCTTATCGGCCAGGTAATTATTACGATGGCGGAGTGGTGCCCACAGACACAACAGTACCTTAAGGTCCCTTACCTCGTTTATGTAGCTGTTTATCGATTTGTATTTGATTATCGACCAATCAGATTTATAGCGACTGATATGCGCATCCTACAGTGCACGTTAACAGAGAGCACGTTGCGACAGACAATTATGGTGTGAACTCTCTCGTTTTTGTAAATGTTTTCATAAGGTTCA